CGAGCAAGTCAAGTACTCATACAGGGGGGACCGCATATCCCCCTATCTTTTTCTTATAGTAGCTGAAGGGTTATGTGCTCTTACATCGAAAGCAGAATAAGAAGGATAGATAGAAGGGATTAGGATTGTGGGGAATGCTTCATATGTGTCTCATCTACTATTTGCGGATGATAGTATATTTTCATTCGTGCAACCCAGACAACTTGTACGAAATTAAAAGAATTTCTATCTACTTATGAACAGGAAACAGGTAAGCAGGTAAATCTTTCAAAGTCTGAGTTATCCTTCTCGCCTAATTTGCCTAAATCAAGAAGATGAGAACCGACTAGGATTATAGGGATGAAACAGGTGGATTTCCATGCAAAGTACTAGGCTTGCCAACTATAATAGGCAGGAAAAAGAGATCGATTTTCACCTACATTGTCGACAAAATCAAAAGCATTGTCAAACTTTGGAAATGTCGACTTCTTTCTAGTGCAACCAAAGAGGTGCTGATTAAATCAGTAGCACAGGCACATGCCACATATGTTATGTTGATATTTAAAATTCCTTTGGGGATACTAGAATACAGAGAATCATGGCCAATTTATGGTGAGGTCAAAAGCAGCTAGAGTGAGTAACCCATTGGAAAAGTTGGTAAGATATATGCAGAACCAAGAAAGAGAGTGGAACGGGATTTATGGACTAGGAAGGTTTCAACTTGGTCCTGTTGAGTAAGCAGGTGTGGAACCATCTCAGAATACCCTCATCATTGGTAGGACAAGTACTAAAGGCTAGATACTACCCAAATAATGATGTGTTGGAAGCACAGATTCCTCATAATCCTAGCTATGCTTGGAGGAGCATAATGGAAGCTAAGGAGTTGGTTTTTGCAGAGCTAAGATGGAAGCTAAGCAATGGTACAAAGATCCAGATATGGTTTGATAAATGGCTAATGGACGAGGGGAACCATTGTATTAGAGATAGCCCAGCTACATATAATCCTCCCCTAAAAGTGTCAGACCTGATTGATTTTCATACAAGAAGTTGGAGACAAGATGTAGTACAGTCACATTTTGAGCCATCTGATTGACACCGAATAATGAGTACCAATTCAAAGACTACAACAGGAACAAGTTAGGGTTTGGACACTTGAAAAGACAGGGAAGTACATAGTCAAAAGTGCCGATTTTGCTTGGCAAACTAGTAGAGACGATGCAGTGGGAGAGAGATACATCCCAGTAAATTGGAGTAGATTTGGAGTATGAAGACCACCCTAAGGTTCGAGGGTGCACAACATACTGCCAACAGGAGGCAACATCTCAGCTAGAACCACTAGAGGTAGTGAAGGGTGCCCATTTTGTGGATTGACAGAAACCCAACTACATATTTTTAGGATTGCGTTTGGACAAGAAGAGTCTAGCAACCTACCTAGATCAAATTCCTATTCGAGAAAGGTGCAGGGGAATCCTTGTGAGGAATGACCTTGTGAATTGTAGGAGCAAGAATCTGAAGACGCAATTGAGTTGCTGGAGGTAGCTAGCTCTTTAGTTCATTAGGATGAGTGAAACTCGCAAATGTGGAACATAACGAAAAAAAGAAGAGAATGAGATCATCGCAAGGGCAATCGATTGGCACACAGAGTACAAACAAAATCAAATAGCTACCAAATCCTACCAGAAAGTACAATCCATGAGTTGGCGACCACAAACGGCTAGGATCTTCAAAATCAATGTGGACGTCGCGGTACTCTCTGGCCAAGGAACATGTTATGGGGTGGTAATTCGAGACTAGAAAGGAGAATTTTGTTTGATTGCGGTAAGAAGAGCTCGACGACAATGGCCGCCGGAGATGGCGGAAGCTCATGCAATGAGATTTGGGATCGAGATAGCTCAACACCATCATTTCCTACCCGGAGAGGTGGAAACGGACTGTTTGTTTGGTGGTGAAGGTGGAAACAGAAGACAAAATTGTGCTGAAGATTGGAGGCATAAGTTGGGAGATGTCTCAGCTAGCAAGGCAAATTGGATCAATCACTTTCAACTATGTGGGCCACCAATGCAACAAACCGGCCCACCTAATGGCCCATACGCTTTGTAGATGGGAGGAGGAAGAGATCTGGACCCAAAGACCCAATGTCTTTCTTTTCCGATTCTTTTAGCATATTGTAACCCAGGCCTATGACGAGTTGAGTAATTCATATGCATATTAATTATGAATTTTTTTTATTAACATACAATAGTTTACCTTACACATATAACAACCTATAGGGAATTAGAAAACCTAAACATAATCTATAATCACCACCCACGTCTATCTTCCGTTTGCTTCCCCATTGCCCGCCTCCATCCTCCCTATCGCCACGAAAAATCTTCCTTCCTCCCTCCCTCTCTATTTGACTATCTCCACCTCGCAGTTTGGCTCTCTCTCTATATCCCTCCCTCTCTCCCTCTCGATTCGATTATGACACGACATCGATAATTTTTTTAGGAGACATGAAAAAATTTGGGTTATCAAATTTTTTTTTTTGTTAACACAAAGGTTGTCAAACCGGTTTATAACGTTACTCCGATTTAGTAAGTGTAATGATCTAATTAGGGTACAAACAGTTTATGTTAGTTTTAGCAAAATATGTAGAGAAAGAAAGAAACTATTAAAAGCAAATGAATTATGCATATATAAAATCTGTCTCAAGACAATCTCCCTTCAATTTACATCCATATTTAAATACAATGTTTATGATCATTATCGAAACGTTTATACTTGAATCCAACAAATAACATCATCTATATTTAAATAAAATATATTACAAAGATTATGACAAATACTTATATTTTAAATACAATTTTTTGTTAACTAAATTCACCAAAACAATGTAATTTTTTAGAGGAAGAAAATTGGACATATCGGTTGGACAACTGGTTTTTCCGGTTTTGAGCGTTATTTTTCGATTTTTAGTTTTTGACAGACTTTAACTACCATTTCATATTGGTGGTATTCCACCCATTTTTTTTATAGATACGGATTTAACACTAATAAAATAAATTCATGGAAACTAGAATTCCAAAAAAAAGTGTCATATTGAATACTATAACCGATGTTACACCTGTTTTAAAGTTTCGCAGTTCTAGTGTTATTATAATGGTTGTGGCTCCGGTTGATTGTCGATCGGTTGAACCCGATTTAAGCGTTACCGGTCATGAAATCAGCGTGAACAACACTGATATGACCGACACGATCAGATTACGATCTCTACGTAAAATGACATTGTTTAAATGAATTTAACTATATAAACGTTTAGATATTAACGTTAAATGTCGTATTTAAATATAAGTATTTGTTATTTCATTTGAATTTGAAATTTTATATAAATATAAATATGGATTATAAGTAAATTGTCTTATATTTTATATATGGTTAACCTACTACTGGTCAACCAATCCACTTGCTAAACCTTAACGTCGCAGCAACAAAACAAATTGGTTATTATTATTATTCTTTGGGTTAATAGCAGTTCGTACTCCTCTATTATTACCAATTAACAAACGTACCCCTCTATTAATTTTTTGCACGAACAAATTGGTTATTATTATTTTTTTTTTTGGGTTAATAGCATTTCCTACCCCTCTATTATTACCAATTAACAAACGTACCCCTCTATTAATTTTTTGCACGAACATACCTTCTAATATTAAAATGTAACGATTGTACCCTTCCATACAGTTTTCTATTAAAAGGCCGTTTAATGGGTTGTAAAATGACCTTATTGCCCCTCAATAACTACTAATTTCGATTTAATTAATGTTTATTCCTAAATCAATTTAATTAGTAATCAAAATCTAGGAACGCCTCTTTTTCGGCAGACGTTTCTTCTTCCTCTAGTTCCCGACTCGACGACTCTCCACCAGAGAAATCAACCGCCTATCTATAAGAAAACAAACCAACCTTCCAGCATGTTTACCTTCTCCTCGTCATCTCACATCCAAACCCAAAGTATCTCTGGCATTATACATCTTCTTCTTCCCTTTCTTTGTGCGGATCCAAAACAGAAAACAAACAAGTAAACAAGCCAAACGAGATCCATGGATGCCTAAAAGAAAATAGAGAACAATTAATGTCACCCACTGATGACAATGACCAACGTCTCAATGTAGCACAAATGCCTACTCGATCACAACAGTTTTGGGTTTGTTTCTTAGTTGCGTTGCGGAAGGGCGAGTTGGGGTAAAGAGGAGGATTTTTCTATGCTATAGGGGAGTCGCTAAGTTGGGGGTAAACTGGAGGAGGCAACGCTGATGTCGAAGAGTCGTCTATAGTGGCGTAGGTTTTGATTATTATTAAATTGATTCAAGGATAAAAATTAATTAAACCAAAATTATGAATTAATGAGGGACAATAAGGTTATTTACAGTTTAGTTAACAACCCTTTAACATAAGGATATAATTGTTATGTTTTAACATTAAAAGGGTATATTCGTGCAAAAAATTAATAGAGGTACCAGGTACGTTTATTAACGGGCAAATGACAATAGTAGAGAGGTTAACCTAGGGATGGCAATTTCGACCTGACCCGTTTTACCGGACCTGTTTGACTTGTTTTGGGGCGGGTCTGACCCGCCCTGTACGCGGGGCGGGCATGGGTAGTCTCATCGACCCGACCTGCCCTGACCCGCCCCATTCTCGACCCGTTCTTGTCTAAATTACATGTAATCTTAGTCAAGTTACTTAGGATTTTCCTTTTGCATCATATTTTTAGCTATAAGAAAGTTGTAAATTAGTGAAAACCTCAATTTCTCCATTAATTTAACTACATTTGTCATAATATTGTTTGTTTTCTTAGTCTTATAATAAAAATAACGAATATTGCTAATGTTTTTAATATAAATTGCATATCCATTGAGTCGACATGCCCCGACCCGCGACCCGAGATCAATTACTCGACCAGGACCCAACCTGTCACGAGGCGGGGTGGGTACCAAGAAACCCTCTCCGGACCTGACCCATTGCCATTCCTAGGTTAACCCTTATTCTTTTGAAATCATACGTATTACAAACTCATCGCTCCTGGTCTCTTAGGATCCGGCAATACTCGTTGGTTTTTGGGTTTAGAGGAGCCAGTCGCAGCAGCAATTTTCGTCCTTATGGCTTCGTTTGGCTCTCTGAAAACTGAAATCTTCGATCGGGAAGCTCGAAAACAGTATGTTCTCCTCCTCCTTTTCTTTCCCTCTGTTACCGCTGTCTTTTTCCTAGAAAGTTTTGAGATTCCCCCCTGCTAATCCCTCCGTTGCAGGCAATACCAAGCTCATGTCCGAGGTCTCAACGCCTACGATCGGCACAAGAAGTTCCTGAATGATTACGGTAGGATTTCCCCTTTGCACTTCTGAGTAGACCTCTTGCTTTCGCCCCTTTCGTGCATTTCAAATTAGGGTTAGGGTTTTAGTGCGGAAATTGCATTTGCGGATTTGGAGATTAGGTATTATCTTCATATCTTGCTCCTGCAAAATGGGATTTGTTCGAAGGGATGAAGCAAGGGCTTCCCTGAACACAAAACCTTTTCCACTCGTTTTGGTACTTCTTCACTCTTTCTTATTTTCCCCTTATGCTTCTGGGTTTGATGTGGACATAAGCTGAAAATATGCAGATTTAAGAGCTACATGTGTACTATACTTATGTCCTAAAGCAAAAGTTAGGATGATGAACATTCTCCTCCTCTAAGAAAGGAAGGAGGCTACAGTCATCCTTACATTATTTTTCTGTTGCCGGTGGATCCTGCTGTGTGCTTTGATAGTCTTCTTGTTAGTCTTCGGTTTGATTATTTTAAAGCCGGTGTTTATTGTTTGCAGTCAGATTCTACGGGAAAGAAAGGTCCGACAATGTCAACTTGCCTGTTAAGACGGATCAGGACACTATAAGAGAAGGTTACCGGTATGTTCTTTCCTCCCCACGTCATTTTTGGTATACGTAGGTCTTAGTATGGTTTACATGTAACACACTAGCTGGGTTACTTTAAATGCTTGATCTGACTTTGCATGTTGATTGTATGCATTTAAATTTGAGATTTTCCTTCTTTCGATCATCTGTGCTTGCTCTTTGTTTTCAACTGTTCTTTCTTTCCTTCATTCTTGTTTCTTAAGATTAAAATGAACTGTATTGAAGAAGACCGCACCACTTGAAACTTTCTTCCACACTTCTAAGGGGGGAATGTTATCTTGGTACTTGATTACTAAATAAGTGCACAAGAAGTTAGCATAGTTTCTGGGATACTTAGGTGAAGAAAGATGTAAAATATGCATTTCCTGGCTGTGCTATATTTCATTTGTTTGTATTGCAATACTTACTCGAGAAGGAAGGAAATGCATTGTGCAGTTATTCCAATTACCAATTTTCCCACTATCATCTAATTGGCGATGAAGATCAGTTTTAACCATTATATGGTTCTTCTTTTCTCCAGTCTCTATTTGATATTTTTCCAACTTTTATATATTCGACGCACTTAGGTTTATACGTAGTGAGGAAGATGACATGGATACGTCCTGGGAGCAAAGGCTGGTGAAGCGTTATTATGACAAGCTTTTCAAGGAGTATCCTTGGATAAAAAGATTGTAATTCGTTTCAATAAATTTAGTTATTGAGTTGACTGAAATAGATTTTTATTTTTTGTTTCAAGATTATCAGAAAGTATCATAAGGCATTATTGATTTCCTTAATTCCATTTTGAAGATACTGCATAGCTGACATGTCGTTTTACAAGAGTGGCAAGGTATGTATGTAGAGTCTGCATAGAAATATGGACACTGCTCTCGAGGCAAAGTTAGTTACATGTTTTAGATATTTTGATCTACAGGAGTAATCTTCTCCTCTGGTTATTCCTTCCTCACCTTCAGGATTTCTATGAATTGGGTTGTCATACTTATATGTTTGACTATCATTTTCAAGACATGTATATGCCCTTATGCTCCCTGTTTGGGAAACTGCAGACTCAATTCAGAATGTTCCTAGATTCAATTCGTTGTTTATAACTTTTGAAGTTCTTGTTTTAGATTGGTTTGAGATGGAGAACTGAAAAGGAAGTCATTTCTGGTAAAGGTAATATTATTGGCTTATTTTATCCAACTTTCTTCCAAGAAATCTCTGCATTCTGCATCCCTCTTCTTCTGCCCATTGTAGTTACTCACAACTTTTTTGTTCAGAAAAGAGAATTGACTTTGTTTTAAAACTGTCAGGGCAGTTCAAATGTGGTAGCAAACATTGTAATGAGGAAAAGGTCCTGGCGAGCTATGAGGCAAGTATTTCGATGCTAAGCTGCTGGTAGTGCCATGTGAGTGTGATTGTAGCATATAAACTTAATTATTGTTTGGTGGTACTTGCATAAAGCCTTCCTATAATCAGTTCTGCAACAGGCTTTGCTAGCATTTGTTCTCCTGTCTTGGTTGTAGTAAAATCCATGATGCTTGATATATTGATATCATAATATTGTTTCTTATGTCTACTTATACTTGTTTACAGTTTGTCAGTTCCGTGTGTACTTATTTTGGCTGAAATATTGCAGGTGAACTTTTCTTATTTTGAAGCTGGAGAAAATAAGCAAGCGCTTGTGAAGTTGGTGGCATGTGAAAAGTAAGCATACATGAAGAATGTCTACTGCTTGCACAGTACCCTGTATATCAATCTTACTCTGAGAGGATTGCAGACTAGTTTACTATCTAAGATCAAGCAAAGAGTTGCCTCTATAGATTGCCATGACTAATTAAGCGCCAAGCGAAAATGAGATAGAAGACGGAAGAAAAGAAGAGTACTAGGGATGTTAGGCTGCACATTATTATTTTGATGCCCCGGAGTGCAACTGGTAGAATTGGAGGCCTGGGCTTCTTATTGATTTTCCATTTTGGTTCACTTGGTTTCAGGTGTGCAGGGAAGCTTAATTACAGAAACAGAAAAGAGAAAGAAAAACTGGAGAAGGAGAAAGAAGAGCAGAAAAGAAAGAGGTATAAATTGTACAAAGTCTCTCTCCCCCCTCAAATCTTCTATGTATGTTGGGCGTCTAACTGACCCATGATCTCAGGGAACGATACCGTAATGACGACCATTCAGGCAGCGACGACGAGGATCGTAGCAAAGAGAAGAGGAGAAAAGGTAGGGTAAAGAAGAAATAGAATACAATGGTCTTTGATGTGTCCAACCATTTTTGAAAGGAAAAAATATTCTACATGTTCAACTTAACGTTTAACCGAGAACCATTGAACTAATAAAAGCCTCTGTTTTCACAATCAGGTAACAAGGCCTCTGCTTCAAGGATCGACCATGACGATGATGACAGCTTTAATGAGTTCCTTGACGGATTGTTTCTATAGCCACCCTTGTGCATGATGCGTCCACAACGAAAACCTTGATTTCATAGGTGCTAATTTCATTGGTTTAGAGAACCCTCGTGATGTGAGAAGTAAGGCTCTGGAAAGAAGCAACGCTATAGAAAGAGTGTAATATTTCTAATTTCGTTGGCCTATGTAAAATTTGCCGCCAATGTTTTATCATTTATGTATCATGGATGGTAGAAGTAACAAACCCTCGGTATTTTCTTATAGACAATTGCTGATGCAGACTGCGGTGGCAAAGAATCTAGGCTAAATAAATACAATAAATTATTAAGCAGTAGTCACAATTATGAAAATACTATTTATTAGCCAAAATTATTGTTGCGGGTCAAGATATGTCTAATAGTCCGTTACAGTTATTGGTCACATCACAAGTCACGTTGGACCACTTTCGATTTATAATTTCAAAACATAAAAAAATTAAAAAATTGGACCTCTTTCGATTTATAATTTTAAAACATAAAAGAATTAAAAAATCAACTATAATTGAAGCACCATTGTTGATTTAGAAATTAAATATTATAAAAAGAAGAAAAATACCCTCCAGCAAGTCCAACACACTCTTCTGGGATGAGATAGCATGACTATCCCTAAATGGGTTGAAATAATGACACCCCTATTAAATATAGACTTTAAGGTAATTGATTTGTGTTGCATTTAATAATCTATCTGAATTAAAAATTTATTAATTATTTTCTTTTTTTCAGTGCAATGGTAGTTCTACCAGTGCAATGATATCATTGTACAGGTACAATGGTAGTTGTATCAGTGCAATGGTGGTTCAAAAAAAGAAATGTAATTAATATTACTTCAGTGTGTAAGTGCAATGATAGTTGTATCAGTGCAATAATAGTTGTACCAGTGCAATGGTAGTTAAAAAAAAGGAATGTAATTAATATAAGTTTTTAATTCTCAAATATTATTAAATGCAACACGAATTTAATACCATAATTAACTATAATTAATAGGGGGTGTCATTTTTCAGGGGTTAGCAAGCTAACCGATCCCTACTCTTCTTCCTCCCAACTACGTAGGTATAAGTCTATATTAGATAGATTTTTAGATTTGATAGATTTTACTAGGTGAAATTAGAATTACGCATGCAATTGAATTAATATAAGTTTTGTGCACTATAGGTCGGTGATCGACCTTACCATGTTCGAGGTATAACCAATTTAGTCACGTACCATGAACACTATCTGACGTATCTCGGAGAGGCGGGCTTGTCTAGTGTTCTGCCCCTGGTCCCTATGAGTGCTGATGCAAGTTTGATTACTACGCTCGTAGAGCGTTGGCGACCCGAGATGTCGACCTTCCACTTGTCGTTTGGTGAAGTCACGATTACTTTAGAGGACGTTGTGACACTGATTGGTCTAGCGATAGACGGTGATGCTGTCATAGTAGACATACCAGATGAGGAGTGGTCGGAGATATGTGTGAGACTATTAGGACAGGTTCCTGATGATCTTTCCTGGCGTTGTCGTTCGGATTGGTTGGCTCTGGGATGAATTCAATAATCTTTTGAAAAATGCATCACGGGAGACTACAAAGCAGTTTGCACGAGCCTATGTTGTATCTTTGCTGGGAGGTGTATTGTTCCCGGATCAGTCTGGAGCTACGGTGCATCTACAGTACCTACTTTTGGTGGATGATTGACAGAGAGCTGGCCGGTTCGCATGGGGAGCAGCTGTTTTAGCCTACCTATACCGTGAGATGGGTAGGTCGGTTTTGCACATTACGCATTCCTCTTCCATGGGAGGTGACCTTGGTGGATGAGTCCCTTTACTGCAGCTCCGGGAGTGGGAGCGATTTCCACATCTGACACCGCGACATACAGAGACGAGGGCGTAGATTACAGAGGACGCATTCCCATGTGGTGTTCGATGTCTTCCGTTTCACTGGCGGACCACTTTCACCAGTGAGAAATCCTAAGCGAGCTTATCCAAATTATGGACCCATCCGTTGTGGAAGGATGGAGGTGGAATTCCAATGCTATGGACGATAGAAGGTGTTCGGGGAAAAGAAATTGAAGGGGGAGCGGAGGACGGAACCGTAGAATGAAATTGGAAAATACAGGTGAGAAGAAGCACCGTGGTCCGTGGCCAAACTCAAAGTGAAGTGGGGTATAAGATGAAAACAACAAAAAATAAAAACATAATTTTAAAGTAAAATATGACATGTCATCTAACTGTCACATGGGGTTGAGTTGGCACTTATGTGTACGCTGAGTGGAAGCCTACTCAACAAACTATCAAAGAAGTTGATGGTGTTACTAACACTATTAAAGTATCTACAGGAAATGGTTAGATTTATCATATAACAACAAGAAAATTTTGTCTATAAGTAGTATTTCTTCAAAATTGACTATAATTGTAACAAACGTGAAATTTTTTACTCTATAAGTATATTTTACTTATAGAATGTATCTCCTTTAGAAACCCCTTTGTATTATTAAAAACTCATGACTTTTCATTTCCTTCCCTTCTAATTTACGCATATCCAAAGCGGAGAAATGATTGGGATATGAGTGAATGTATGATCCAAGATTACCTGTTTATCATTGTAAAGAAGAAGAAAAAAAAAGACTACCTGTTTATGTTCTCCTAGATAGAGCCGCCCGCGACCCAATAGAACAGAAAATAAAATATCTACCACATTGTTTCCTGAGACGCGGTGGAGGAGAATAGATTTCTTCTCTTTCTCCCGCATTTCACTCCTACTAAACTCAAACACCAGGTGTCGTCCATTGTTGGTGTGTCATTTTTCGTCTCAACCAGGCCAGACAAACTTTCCCTTCTTTTCTCCGTTTTTGGTATGCTCACTCATCTCCAGCTATACACTCTTCCCTCCCGGCCAGTCGACTCTTCATTATTGTTATTGCGCCTTCATTTATACTTGTCTGCTTCTCCTTCCTTCTTCACTCTCACGCCAGCCGGAGGAAGGGGAAAGCGACAGCCTATCTGGCCTCCATTGCTCTCCCCTGCTTCCGATCACTCCCTTTCGGCCCTCACAATCCTTTTTCTCCGTTCACGTCGAGCTTCCGGTTTTGGGTCCTTGCCGTAAGTTCCACTTTTTGTTTGGCCTATCTGTTGTCTTCTTGAGTATTTTTGCGATGAAAAGGAGGTTGGATGTCCCCGCTTCGCTCTTGTTTCCTGAAAGTAAATGGGTGTTGTTATTGTGTCTTGGGTAGCCGATAAGTTGTTCCCGTGTGGGATTATCTTATTTTCTCTTTGATTGTATCTTTCCGCGTTTCCCAATGACCAATTCTTGTGTTGAAAGATTATGATGTGAAATCGATGAACCATTGTTGAAGAGATGGGTGGAATTTACTATGCGACTTTGTTGGGCTACTGAGGAAACACGGGGAGAGCAATCTGGCTTTGTGTGTACCTTTAAAACCTCTGACATGTGCATGCTGAACTGCTGATAGATAAAATAAGAAAAAAAAAATCACATGTAGTGGTGTTTGTCACTCTAGGTTTCCTGTGTAGTAAGTGGTGACAGTTTTTTTTTTGTAGAAGAGGAGACTAATCTATTCTCTTTCTCCCCTACTCTTGTGCAGATCTGTTACAGAGAAGAACATTCTTCCCCGTATCCTCTGATGTAACTCGGCATGCTTGTGTTTTGGTGAGCCTCAGTCCATTGGGCATATCAGGGCAACTAAGAGTAGGTTTCGATGGAATCCGAGGATGAAAGTGGGGTAAGCGTGTATTTCATGGAATGGATGTATGTTCAATTTTGGTTTGCAGAGTAACTAACCTCTACTGTGTAATTTACTTCCTAGTGCTTTTTTCACATATGAAGGGATGTGTTTACTTATCCAAGTAGATTGGTGTCTCTAGTCCGTTGATAGATGAAGGATGGTGTTTGAATAGTTTTTTTGTTAGTTTGGTTTCTGAAGATGGCTGGTTACGCAGATAAAGCCCATGAAGAATGTTGCTGGGGTCTGCCAGATTTGTGGCGACAATATTGGCAAGACTGTGAATGGTGATCCATTTGTTGCCTGTGATGTTTGTGGACTTCCGGTGTGTAGACTATGCTACGAGTATGAGAGGAATCACGGGACTAAGGCTTACCCTCAATGCAAAACTAGATACAAGAGACACAAAGGTTTATCATTATGCCTCAATTTCATCATCAACATGTGTTGTACTTCTCTTTTGGTTATGATGTTGTTGATACAGAGCCGCTCTAAGATGAATTTTCTTGACGTTTTCAGGTAGTCCTGCCATTGCTGGTGACAGAGATGAGTACGCCGCCGCCGACGCTGATGAAAGTGCTAGTGACATCAACTACTCTTCTGAAAAGCAGAACCAGAAACAGAAGATGTCAGAGCACATGCTGAGCTGGGCGCATTGGATGGGGAGAGGATGCCGGGTCACCGAGTTATGATACAGAAGCTCTTGCCACCCGTGTTCCTCTGTTAACCCGTGGGCAGGAGGTAGGTCATACCACTACTTATTCGAGTTCCTGAAGGTGCTGTCGCTATTTTCATGGTGATTCCGATTTAATGTTCATACCCTTCTATCTTTAGGTGTGGTGAATTTTCTGCTGCATCACCTGAGCATGCGTCTATGGCATCTCCTGGTCATGGTAATGGAAAGCACATCCATACTCTGTCTTATGCAGCAGATGCCGATCAATCACGTGAGCGCCCTTTATATTGTAGCTTTTCTGCTGTTTCCGTGTAATGCCTGTAAATCGGATCGCAACCGTTTACATTTTGGATCATCCTACTTTCGCAGCTAATATCAGGAGTGCTGAGCAGTCCAGGGAGTTCCCTTCCCGAGGATTGGGCAACGTAGCATGGAAAGAGCGAGTTGATGGCTGGAAGATGAAGCAGGAAAAGACTGTTGTTCCTATGAGCAGTAGCCAAGCTCCTTCAGAAAGAGGTGTTGGAGATATCGATGCTAGCACGGATATTCTGGTGGATGAGTCTCTGCTGTAAGTTCTGGTGAATCATGCCTTATCTTACTGTTTATCATGGTGAATCAATGCAAGCTTCCGTCTAGCCCATTGTTAAGCATGTTGGAAGTGTTCATAATGGTTTTCATTTGCTTGGGAAAATTTCCTACTGTGTTCGGGTGGCTTTTACATCACCATCATGCTAGTTATTCTGAGGGATTTTGATGGCCGCACCCACCTATCAATATATGTAAATTTTTTGCAAAGCACAATAATGTCGAATGCCTATTTCCTTGTCTCTTGTTTCCTTTCAGCAATGATGAAGCCCGCCAACCTTTGTCAAGGAAGGTTTCCATTTCATCTTCTAAGATTAACTCGTACAGGATGGTCATAGCTTTGCGGCTTATCATCCTCTGTATTTTCCTGCACTACCGAATTACAAACCCGGTGAAGAATGCCTTTCCTTTGTGGCTAATGTCAGTAATATGTGAGATCTGGTTTGCAATATCTTGGATATTGGATCAGTTCCCTAAATGGACCCCTGTAAACCGTGAAACATACCTTGACAGGCTGGCTCTTAGGTATGATATTTTTTGTTCTTGTTTTTTGTTTTATCTTTATCTACGATTAGACTTTGAAAGAGCGGCTGGACCATTTTAATCTGATTGCTTACTGTCTGGGTTACAGATACGACCGTGAAGGAGAGCCGTCACAGTTAGCTGCTGTTGATATCTTTGTCAGTACAGTGGACCCCCTGAAGGAGCCTCCTCTTGTCACTGCCAATACTGTGTTATCCATTCTTTCTGTTGACTACCCAGTTGACAAGGTTTCTTGCTATGTGTCCGATGATGGTGCTGCGATGCTGACATTTGAAGCTTTATCGGAGACTGCAGAATTTGCAAGGAAATGGGTACCTTTCAGCAAGAAATACAGCATTGAGCCACGAGCTCCAGAGTGGTACTTCGCACAGAAGATTGATTACTTGAAGGATAAAGTTCATCCTTCATTTGTCAAGGGTCGTAGAGCAATGAAGGTAGCTTGCCAAGCAGTCTCATTTTTTTCATCTGCTGCATAAGCTTTGCATGAATAGATTTAATTGCATCTCCTCTTCCTCTTGTGGACAGAGAATATGAAGAGTTTAAAGTCCGCATCAACGGACTGGTGGCCAAGGCAACAAAAGTTCCAGAAGAAGGATGGATCATGCAAGATGGTACCCCGTGGCCTGGAAATAACACCAGAGACCATTGCCTTCTTTTATCATGATACTGGTAATTGTTGTTGTACATTCTCTCTTTTCATGAACTTTATAAAAGAGCTTCTTTCTATGCCTTCTATGGTTTTGTGAACAGCTTGTGACATTCTTCATGTTGAAACTTTTCAGATGAACTTGAGGGGTTTAGATGGCATTCAAGGTCCTGTATATGTTGGAACAGGATGTGTTTTCAACAGAACCGCCTTGTATGGTTATGAACCTCCTCTGAAGCCCAAGCGCAAAAGGAAGGTTTTATGTCTCTACTTTGTGGTGGACCTCGAAAGAAGGGTTCAAAATCAAGTAAAAAGGGTGCAGGCAAGAAAAATTCAAGTAAGGATGTGGATCCTACTGTACCAGTTTTCAGCCTGGAAGACATTGAAGAGGGTGTTGAATGTAGATTTTACTTGTATCTTTCTCCCATTTCCTACATTCTGCTCCTTGACTCCTTCTAAAGCTTTCAAACAATCTTGAAACGACACTTTTTAACTAAAAACCTGCTGCATGATTGATAGTTGAAATTCGTCTCCGGATGACTTTTCATAACATCTCCTTCCTCAAAATATCAGGTGCTGGATTCGATGACGAGAAGTCATTGCTCATGTCACAAATGAGCCTCGAAAAGAGGTTCGGCCAGTCTGCTGTTTTTGTTGCCTCTACACTGATGGAGAATGGTGGTGTTCCTCAGTCTGCAACTCCTGAAACACTACTCAAGGAAGCCATCCATGTCATTAGCTGTGGCTATGAGGACAAGTCGGACTGGGGGAGTGAGGTAAATGTTGCTTCTATCTTTCCATGTATGAGTCATGCGTATGGCATACTTCATTACTTCGTCTCTTTAAGCTAAGAAATGGGATTTCCTACTAACTATTTAGCTCGCTCTCTCCAGATTGGTTGGATCTATGGCTCTGTGACGGAAGATATCCTTACCGGGTTCAAGATGCATGCCCGTGGGTGGCGATCAATCTATTGCATGCCTCACCCCCCAGCATTCAAAGGGTCTGCACCGATCAATCTGTCGGATTGTCTGAACCAAGTGCTTCGATGGGCCTTAGGATCGGTGGAGATCCTGTTCAGCAGGCATTGTCCCATATGATATGGGTACGGTGGAAGGCTGAAAGCGCTGGAGAGGCTCGCATACGTGAACACCACGATCTATCCCATCACAGCAATACCTCTTCTCATGTACTGTACGCTGCCAACGGTGTGTGCCTCTTCACAAACAAGTTCATCATCCCTCAGATCAGCAACATCGCGAGCATATGGTTCATATCTCTCTTCCTGTCCATCTTCGCCACGGGGATCCTGGAAATGAGGTGGAGCAGGGTTGGGATCGACGAGTGGTGGAGGAACGAGCAGTTCTGGGTCATCGGGGGAGTCTCGTCCCATTCTGCTGGCTTCCATTTTCTCTCTTCTGTGGGTGAGGATCGATCCCTTTACCACCAGGGTTACTGGCCCTGCTGTTCATCAGTGTGGGATCAATTGTTAAGCGAGGGAGAAAATGATAAGAGCCAAAAGCTGCGTTGGCTTTTGTTCATTAGGTATATACGCGTAGTGGTATAATATGTGTGTGTGAATGTGATATGTATTGCAGCGAGGACACTGATCAAGTATAACTAGTCGTGGTAAAGGTAAAGACTAAAGTGTATGCCAGGAGGGTTCTCCATTGTGTAATATAATACTAATACTAGATAAATAGCCTGAGCTATCCAGATTCCAGTGGTATCCCAATATGGTAAATGAAAGCTCATTTTCATATGCTCCCCCAACCAAATCCAAACTCTCTGTAACGACTAGCTATCTTCCAACTTGGACCAGAATCCCAACTTGACTTGGCTGATAAAGCACTTCTCACTTCTCTAGTTCTCTATACAATCAATGATTTTTAGGAACACTCACTATATACCCAGCAAAATTCTTATCTGAGGAAGAAATGGGGTTAAACACCCAAATTTTCAAGAACTAAGCAAATGATAGGCTAGCACAGAAAGTTATAAACACAATTAACAAAATGACATATCATATCAATATAGTACCTAAAATTTCATAGGAGATGCAATCAATGGACAAGATGCCCCAACAAACTTAAATACAATGAACTAAATGAAATCATATGATATAACTTAAAATAACTAATGAACATGAAATAATGAATATTTATTAATGGGGGGTTTTACTCGTATTAAGAAGTAACATCAATAATCACGGAACAATTTCAGTAGTGAATTGTTTTATTTTAGTCACGGGAATTAGTTCACTCATTTTCAAAATTGCATCCCCATGATAAATGAGTAATCACTCTTAAATTACCGTGAATAATGTGAAGATGATGTACTTTATCTAAAAAAATGTTGTCAAATTTTTTTCTACTCTTTTCTCTATCTCGAGAGGGAAAGTTTAAAGTCCCCCCTTATGTTCACCTTCCCAAAATTTCCCTCTTAACATTTCTCATTCTCACCATTATGTACCATGAAAAATCAAAAGCCAAATTTACATTTTGAAGAAATCAACAGTACAAAAATCGAAAATCACAAGACATGATATTTTTTACGTGGTAAATGAACCAGAAAAATCCATGATGAGCTCGAAAGAGCTCACAGGCTGACCACATTGTAGAGGGGATTGCATGTTATTGCTTACGTTCACAATAAGAATGATATTTAAGCTCTTATATTGGACAAATCAACAATCCTTTTACACATGAACGACGTCTTTCAACCAGGACATGGTGAGGGAATACACCCAAAGCTATTACAACCCTAACATTGGTGTAAGAGGAGGCTTCTCAAAGTGGATGTCCAATCACTCGATGTCAAACCAAAGCATTGAAGACACAGATACAAGCTTATTTGGCTAAGAGTTTCGCATTATTGTAGTATGAATTGTTCGTGGGCCAAGAGATCACCATATTCCACGTCCACGAAGAAAAGCCCAACACGGCAGAAGGAAGGAAACAACTTACTTGATGATTAAAGCATCCTTGGTGGCTAACACAAGATGTGAATGGTACTTTTTGGGTGGACTCATCCTTGGTGTGAATACAAGGTGTGAAAAGGAACCTTGTGGGACGAATTTATTGTTGAATTTGAATGTCCTTTTTCTTTTGGTATTTGGATTATATAGCTACTCACAGTCGGATTTTTGAGTTAATTAAAGGTAGAAACATTGTTTTGTAACCTTTATAAATATAGGAGGATTTGCCTACAAGCTGAACAAGTTATTATCAATTGAACCCTAGTTTTTGAGTGTTGAACATCGAACGCTTGTTTTCTTTCTTGTTCGTTTGTAGAATCGAGCTAGCAAGGAGAGTCCGAAGTCATCAACTAGTCAATCACCCTACTTGTGGAGTCACTTTGTATACTTGACCCTATTCCTAGCCGTGGTTTAGGTCCGAGTTGTTTCCATATTTGTGTTTGTTGTGCTACTAATTGATGTGTTTCTAATTGCTTAAGTCCAGGTGTATGAGCCTCGACTTATATAAGGAGAAGTATGGTAGTTGTCGACTAGTTAAAGGACACATACCAGGCATGAATAGACGCAGTTTCTTATCATCCCACAAAATACAAACAACCACAATACTCCCTCTCAAGTGAAGACATGAATTTCAAACATGTCGAGCTTGAAAGTGAACCACTCTACAAAAGCCTCTCCAAACGAGCATGCAACACCATACTATTTCTTGGTTTGGCCTATTTTCACGAGCACGAGACCGTGACAACTTTTAGCACGCGAGATGCACAATGGCTGTTGGAATTTGCAAACTTCACGGTCTGAAGGTGATTTTCACACCCCTCGGGGGGTGACAATTGAATGCTGCCCGTGAAGTCTTGCTCTTCACTCCGTGTGAGAGATTTTCACCCTCTCAGGGTGTGACAAATGAGTGTTGCTCGTAAACATTGCACAACCTCCACTTTTTGGCTCATTTTGACCTCTGAATGACCCAAAACTCATCTCGGATCTTCTCACATGTACAAGAACCTGAAATGTGACAAAAGAAGCACAATCTAACATAAATAAGTCGAGGAACTACGGTAACCAAGTCAAACAATCAAGATGTGTGTAATTATGTGCGAATCATCTGTTACTAGACATTTCTTATGTTCACAAAGTTCTGAGTCAGTTGATCAATGCTCCAGCTCATGTTCATGATATGAGACTTAAATGGGTCTTGCTAATCTCAAATGGGCTCAGGTCAATGTATCTTCTTTTCATAGGGTTGTGTCCTTTTTGTTATGTTGATTGAGGTGGGTGTCATCTCACTCATCATTCCACTACAACTTACTTTATTTCCTTGGGAAGTGCATATTAGTGATATTTTATCTCCTTTTGTATATATTTATCTATTGTATATATTATCTTTATAATTATCTCCATTTTCTATTGTAATATCCTAAATTAGAGTTGGAACTACAAGTATTCTACTTGTAACTATTTATATACACTCATTCAAGGGAAGGATTGGTATTCACGTACAATTCCCTCATGGTATTAGATCCTCTAGTTTTGCATATGAAGAAAGACACCTTGGTTGTCCGATTCTCTGATATTAAGGAAAGTTTCGTGATGTGACTACCACTGTCAGGGAGATTATTTGGTTACTTGCACGCTTTGCGGTATGACTTGGATATTCCGTCGAGCTTATTGCTCTTTACTATGATAACCAAGATGCTATTCATGTCACCATGTATTTTGCGAGCGCATAAAAGACTTTTTTTTTTATAAAAGATAATCATGTATTGATAACAAAAGATAGTTACATCCTGGAGAGCAGTTAGGCCTGAAAATTAAAGCCACGATTCATGATCAGGTACAAAGAGAGGGCTTTCCTAGCCACAAGATGGGCTACCCTATTACTACTCCGACCTACAAATCGAACCGTCAATCCCGGATGGGTACGAAAATACTGCAATACTTCCTCCAAAACAGCACCCACTCGATTGTCTCTGGCATCCCCTTGATTGAGTTTGTCAATGATCACCTTAGCATCCCCTTCGAATACCACATTAGAGATGCTATGCGCCAGACACCATAGAATCGCCTCCCTAAGGACCAGAAGCTCCACCGTCATCGGGTCCCCCACATGCGGGAAATGAACCCCTTTTACCTGAATGACCTCCCTAGCCGGGGATAACAGAACAATTCCACCAGCAGAATGCGACCCTGGCCGAACCGCCCCATCCCACATACAAACAACCCTCCCAGTCTCGCCAAGTCCTCCACCTTCCCCCACTGGGACCGTGTGATGGATAACTGACTCACTCCTACTGTCACTCTAGAAAATGGCCAAGTGCAACCACTTCCTAAAGCGTAGTATAGCGGGTTTGGGTTTTATTGTCCTAAAACACGAGATTCCTCATAACAAACGGCTTCAGAATAGGGGTGAAAATATGTGTAATTAACGATCTATCAAACTCCCCCACACTTAACCGTTTGCTTGTCCCTAAGCAAACCTAACTCAAACCAATGCAACTCTCCAGACCTCTATAGCAACAAACAACCTCGATCGTAGGTAGAGGACTTCCTAGATCATTTAGCAACTTACGAGGTCAACCGACGCACAAGTCATCTTATAACTTCTTCGGCGAGAACGCTAGTCTCGAATCGGCATCATGGCAAATAGTGAACAGAGGACAAATGAATCGTGGACGAAGAGACTCTCACAAACAAAAGATCATGGACTCACATTAATTCAAGGTGCTCGATTTTCTTTGTGAACATGGTTGGAACCCTTTTCTTTCTTCTTTTTTTTGCTTGTTTTTCTGTTTTTCTCTTTTTTTTCACGGGTTCCAACCTGTTTCTGCAGAAAACGGGGGCTCCCACCTAGCAAAGGTTTTGCGGGAGCCCGGCTCTTACCGGCCATGCCAGGAGCGGGTGTCTCGAGCCTCATGCGGGGGAAAGACATGTAAGGGGGCTGGAGGTAGTAGGTGGAAATTGGGAACGGATTCCTGTCTCCCCTTACACACTTTCGCCCTATTCGCACGGGAGACGTTATTTTAAAGCACATTTCGAGCACCTGTTACATTCAGAACATGATACAAGAGTCCATGACAGGCAGAGAGTCCACAACACCACACAATTCAAGGGTCCTAAAATCACTAATTCACTCAATCAACCAACACAATATGAAGAAGAAATGAGACTTCTTAAATGCATCAACATCCTCCATAGTGCTACACTACCTCCCTAGGTTGCAAATCACTACAGAGACTGTCAATTCAAAGCATACTGAGCAGGCAATTGCAAGGAACACGTACTTGGAGCCCTCAAATTTAAAATTTTTCAAGCACACAAACAGATCTAATGCAGGCAAAAGATAAACACCCCCCCACACTTAAGATCGACATTGCCCTCAATGGAGACGAGGGAAGGAAAGGGGAACGATGTTACCGTTATGCACAGACTGCAGAAGACTGGAAATGGACCAGTCAGGATGAAGCGGACTGGAGAGAGGACCAGTCGTGAACACAGGCACAGCTAAAGGAAACCAAAGAGCTCAAACACGATATGTTAGGTCCAATGGTCAGCCCAATAGTACATCATCCAAAACAAAAGAAAACAAACCAAAAACAAACCAAATCGCAATCCGACTCGAAACAAAAACAAATAAATGAAAACCATGG